GGAGCTGTACCCTTGGGACCCTTGGGGTCCCACTACAACTCCATACATACAATGAAAGTATACATTGGACTAGCACCCGAAACATTTTTGAAAAAATTAGAAGCAAACGAAATTACTTGACACATATTCACATCTCAGGCTTGTCTTCCTTTGTTATGATGGTATTTCCTCGGGTGGGAGTCAAGACAAAGGAAATGATAAATCGTAACCTGTCTCATACTATGATACAAATAGCTGACTCCATGGCTCAGGCTATACAAGCTCAGCAGAAGTCGCTCAACTCTTTATCTAGGGTGGTGTTAGATAATAAAATTGCTTTAGATTTCCTCCTGGCCCAAGATGGAGGTATCTGTGTGATAGCTAACAGTTCTTGTTGCACTTGGATAAATTCCACTGGGCAAGTTGAAGAAGCTGTAATCAAAATACAACAACATGCACACTGGTTACACCAAGTACAATCTCATTCCAATGAGAAATTTGACCTGTTTAGCAGGTTCCCTACTGATGTAGAATCTTGGATGCTTACTTTTATTCAAACCGGAATTATAATTTTAATCATGAGTATGGTTTTATGTGCAATTATCTTATGTATTTACCAATATAAAAAGACTCATTTCTACACAGTTTTTACTCCTGGCAGTGACTGTAAAAATAAACAAAATTTGGAGTGTTGAACCACTTGGCCAAGTTGATGACATTTCTCAAACACACTGTTACTCCATTAGTCAGTCCATTTCCCCCTCTGCCTCTGGTTAGCATTGCCCAGTCTTTACTATGGCATGGTGAAGACCTGAAAATCAGAGGCCATTGTTGGACATTGGTCAATGAAAGCCAATGCAGTAGAAGGCCCATAAGAAGGCCAAGAACTCGGTCAAAGATGCCTTCTTTTAAAGTCTTTGATCAATGGGGACATAGTTACATGAAATAAAAATGGAGTGATGTGGTTGACAAAATGGCATTAGTAGTTCAATGGACAAGGCCCGTAAGACTTGTTTTTCCCCAAACTTAAACCTAATAAAACCTCTTGTAACCACCTAGCTTTTCCTGTAAATCAGATCACCTTGTTGACCCATGAGATTCTAACAGTACTCAAATTCTATGAACCTATCAGAAATAACTTTGATTATGTTCTGTCAATAAAGCCATACTTTTCCACTTGCAGTTTGGTGCCACCTAATTTTCTGTCTGAATAAGCCTTACCCAAGAGGTTAACTTTATTCTTGACTCAGCCTCTTTAGACACATGCTATGCAGGTACTTCCATGTACTGAGACACAGGACCTCTCATATGATATTCAGGGTGCATGCAGGGCTGGGGGCCCCAGGCAGATTTTACCGCCACCAGCTCCACAGACGGGCCCCATGGGGATGAGGTGTGGCTGCTTAGTGACCCTAGCAACCTTCTGCAGATGACCTGCCAGTACCCTCCCTCAGCACTCGGGTGGGCAAGCAGGATCCCCCTCTTTCTGCCCCTCTCCCTATTCGGCCTGATGCTGTACTGTTCTGTGGCCCCAGGTAGCCTCTGCCCTTTCTGGACCTTCCTGACTCCTGGTTGTGAAAAGGAGGCTCTGAGGAATGTGCCCCCTCCCCAGGGACTGATATCTTGCCCTGGACACTCCCTGGCTGAGCAGGAAGGGGGCTCTTAGCCTTTCCCAGATTGGCCCCTTGTCTTCCCTTCACTAAAGGGACATGCAGACTGGTCCATTCTGGGCTGGTCCCACCAGAGGACACCTGATCGACCCACCCTCTCCCAGTGCCCTGGCTCCTCTGAATGTGCCAACCTGCCCATGGTGACAGGAAAGGCTGTCGAAAGCAACACTGGCTGCCTTTCCACTAGCCAGTGTATGAGAGCCCTTCCTGTCGAAAAGCAACGCTGGCTGCCTTTCCACTAGCTAGTGGATGAGAGCCCCGTGCACCAGGCCAGCTGAGGGGCTGGATTACACTGGGGAGGCTCTTGCCCTTGTTTCACCTGACCACAGACAGGCCTTGGACCTGCTCTGGGCCTGGATCACCCCAGAAATGGCGCCCTGGGCTGTACACCAGGGCTTCGCCTACTACAAACTGATGTCTCAGGCCCACATACTTCTCCAAAACATCCTTTCTGGGATGAGGGCCACCCCCTAGGACTGAGGGCAGGGGCTAGAGGGGCAGTTGTCCTAACAGGTAGAAGGCACACTTGTCCAAGTGCCAAGGCTGTGCCACCCCACTCCTGCCAAGCTGAGCCACCAAGTGCAGCTCACTGGCTCAAAACCCAGGTCCAGCCTGAGCAGTGTCCATGGAAGCAGCTGTACTAGGCCAGTGTGGGGGGTGGGCAACCCACTGGAGATCTGTTGGGCCAGACAGGGATGTGACCCCTCAGGGGTCTGGAAGCAGGGCACCTGCGGACAAACCCCTTCTGGGAGTGGAGTGGCCACTATGGGGTCTGGGTCAAGGCCTCAGGTCAGAAGTGCTCATATCCAAAAAGAAGTTATCTCCCGACCACGCTCATGGGGCAGGAGAGGAGGTCAGCCTCATCCTGCAGCACTAGCTGAAGCCAGGTGGCTCCTTCCACCTGACCTCACAGGAGAGGGCACAGGGGTGACTGGAGACTGGTAGTTGTGCGGTGTGCCTCCGTGGGCTCTGAATATCAGCAGTTGGCTGCGGAGGTCCAGGCTTGGGCCAGGAGCTGGGTACAGAAACAGGCTGAGAGGAGGGGATCTTTCCTCTCTAAACAGCTCCAGCTCCATGGGGTGGGGGGTGCACCCTGCGGCTTCCAGAGCACAGATGGGGTCTCAGCTCCTAGTGCTGCTGGGGTCACAGGTTGCAAATAAACAGCGGATGCAGCAGGTCCTGGAGGGCGAGGCCTGGACAGAGTGAGGCCAGAGCTCGGAGGTGGGATGTGGCCTGGCCCTCCTAGGGACAAGGGGCAGGACTAGGTATGACCCACAAGAACACAGAGCACAGGTCAGAAGAGGGGGGTCACCATGACCAGAACCTCGGGCTGCTCCAGCTCGGGTGCTCAGCATTCTCACAAACTTTCCCTTTAGGACAGCCAGAGCAGAGAAGCCCCAGTGTGGCCAGACTGCCCAGCCAGTGGTGGAGGCTGGTGGTGGCGACTGTAACCTCACACCTTCCTGGACCAGGACAGGCTGCTCTGGGTGGGCTGGGGGAGCATGGGCCAGCTCCATGCTTGCCTTCCATCCCAGGGAAGACTCTGGAAAGACAGAAAGGCCATCTGCTGGGACACAGCATGGGTGACCAACTCCTGAGGGCCCAGGGTCACCTTTGCAGGGAGGAGTGTTCTTACTGTGTGGTGCCTGTGTGACAGCAGGTAAGCAAGTGCCTTACAAGCAGGAACTGATTTGGGACAGCAGGGGCATCAGGTCCTGTTTCCCCACCTGATTGGACTTCATGCAGGGATGTGGAAATGCTACAGGACTCACTGGAAAAAGGGCTGAAGTATTTTTATTTAAAGTTCATTAGACACGTCTCAGGGTCAGACAGACAGAAGACACCAGAGAGACATTCTGCTTTAAGGTGAACACATCCCCAGACCTCAAGTTTAGTCAAGCTGTGTCCAAAAGGAAGAGAGCAAGAAGAGCTGGCAGGTTCTTTGGAGCCACAGCACACACAGCCAATACAAGGTTACACACGGCTACCAACTGCACTGTCCTTAGGAGCCCAGCAGGAGGGGCAGCTGACTCCGCCACAGAAACCCAGTCACCCTGTGAAGCCACCTGAGTCTAGGCCTGCCACATGGGTAGGGGCCCAGCCTAGGGCAGTGTGAACATGAACCGCACACCAGGTACGATCCCAGCAGAGTCACGACACGACAAACCAGAGCCATCTCCACAGTGACGTCTGGCAGGTTTAGAGGGCAGACAGACAGGGATGGCTGTCACTCCAAGTGGACAGAGACACTTGCAGGTGATCTGCATCTCACATCAACCAGGCTGGCTGGTTCTACTACAGAAAATAAAACCCCCTCTCCGTAGTCAGAGACCAGGGAACAAGCAGAGGCTGAGCAAAGGCTGTCAGACATGCACCAGATTGTAAGGCAGAGAGGTCAGTAACACACCCACTGTGTTGCTGGCAGGGTCTCCCATCCCTGGCACATTCCAGCTCCAGGGAGGGGTGTGTGTGCATGCGCTGTGACCTGTGATACAGAAACCCCACAAATCTCTAATTCATAAAGTGTGGCAGACCCATGTGTCTGGCCTTGGGATTGTGAAGAAATTCCATTTCTCCATGAACTTTTTGAAGCTCCTCTGTATGGTTCTGGGCTTCAAAAACCACCTGCTTTCTCGGACGGCTGAACATGTCCACAGTATTGTCCTTGTCACCCTCTCACTGACAAGTGACAGGAGCGGTGAGTCCACTTCTCACTGCTTTCGCACTGAGGGAACCACACGGCACACCTCTAGGGATCCCCCAAGCTCACCCACATATTCTGACATTGCAGGAAACCCGACTGCCAGGCCTAAGCTCACAGTGTCCTTAATTCCTTTTTTACAAATAAAAACCTTGCGGTTTACTGCAAGCTGGGAAACGTCATTCACAGTTTTGGAGCTGCCTGACTGATGCAGGAAGTTGAAGACAGGTGTGCCTCAAGAGACATGGCCCTGGGTCCTTAGACCTCCCAGTCCTGGTGAGGCACTGCACCAGCCTGAGCTATGTGTCCCCTGTCAGCAGGGCACATCCATGTGTCTACAGGATTTCCCAGCATTCATTCTCACCACTTCATATGTATAGGACAACTGGGTGGAAAACATGGCAGCCGTGACTTTGGCATTTTGGCATCATAAAGGCATAACAGCTGAGGTGTGTGACAGACAATACAGAACAAGTGACAACAGACCATCTCAAAGACTGAGCCGAGGGCAAACATAGCTTAAAAAAACACGGAGGTGAAAATGTCACGAATAACTTAAAATCTTAACATATAAACCTCCTCAAAATTAGCCAAACAGACAGCAAAAATCTCTGAGGAGTTGCTGCCGGCGCCGGGTCGGGCCTGGTTGTTCAGCGGATGACCGTGATGTGTGCAGCACTTATGTCCAGGTCCGTCTTGGAAGGATACACCACCTTCAGGCTCCCGTCCAGATCCACCACTCGGACCTGCTCTACCACCAGCGGGGAGGTCCCATCCTCTCCAGCACTTGGGTTAGCCTGGGGATCTGGTAATTGTCCAGAAACGCTATCAACTTCAGTATCCGAGAGCGATTCTTCCTCTTTATTTTCTAAAGTGTATTTGTTGAGTTCTGCCATTTTCTGCCAATGAAAAAAGGTCCTTAGAATCGAGAGATTCCAATGTATTGTGAAGAGGGCGGGCCAGGCCAGCAGGCGGAGTCCCCTGGCTCCATCTGTGCCGGCCTTACTCACCAGGATGAGAGCGTCCATGATGTCTTTACAGATCTGCAGGCTAACAGCACTTGTGACTTCCAGAAACAAGTCAGACGTTGTTTTTTTAATCTTCAACAAACAAGCAAAATCAGAAAGGTTTGAGGAAAGGGTAAATTGAACAGGCCAAGAGAACAGCAACATTTACTCTGAAGAAAACCCTCTCCAGTGGTCTTACACAAGCCAGGACCACCACCTTCCTCCAGGAAACACCCGTGAGCATCCTCGGGGCATCGCCATCTGGGCCCGGAAATCCGATGCCCTGATGACTACAGACTATCCCCTTCTCATTACACTTCCTCTCAGGCACCCCTTGTCATACCTTCGTCTTCTCGCTGTTGGTGATGGGCGGGAAGGAGATGACATCGCCATCCGCGTCCACGAGGCATGGGTAGTTGTCTTTTCCGTCCAGCAAGTGAAGGTATCTATGTGGAGAGGGCACAGACCAGATGAAGAGTTATTAAAAAACACCCCAAGAGGTAGCGCTGTCCAAGTTCAGAGCGATTTCTCAGTTTTCCTTTTTCCATAGTCGCAGGAAGATGGTTTCAATTTCTGCTCACTTTGAGTTCGCTCAATAGCACAAGTGGGTTAAAATGAAGACCACAGGCTGTGGTCGCCCTCTTTCCTGACAGTGGCGAGGCCAGCTACCCCTTACCCCCACCCTGAGGATTCGGAGGGCCACATGTGGCCGAGGCTGGTTGACCTGTGCAAGCCTGAAACGTTCTGTCTCTTCTTCTGCTTCCTCTGCTCCTCAGCCTCTAGCTGCAGTTGCCGCATCAGGTCCTTGGCCTTGACCTCTCGCCGGCCCAGGGGGATGATCTATCGGTAGGAAACTGCAGTCAGCCTTTATGAAGACAGCCCTTCGTCAGGAAGACAGCGGTAACCAGCGTTGTGGGCTCATTCCCTGCTCTCCTCCACCATCTCCAGGGTAAGAAAGGTCCCCAGGAAAGACGGCAGTCCCTAATGGGCCACCTTATAAGAGGCTGGCACTCGGGGTGCCTCCAGGAGTCACTTTTGGGGACTGGGATGCCAAACACTCAAGTACTTTTGAAACCAAGTTTAACCTGAAACCAGCTAACACACACCTGAGTTTATGCACACCTGCAGGGAGCCAAGGGCCCCTGGGGTTATCTACCACCCCAGGGACCCCAGAACCCTGACAAGTTCAGTAGAACTTCCAAAAAAAAACTCATGTGAAGGCAAACCCCACACCAAGGGACTCTGCAACTAGACTAAAATCTCCTGATAAAGATGAAGGCCAGTGAAAAGGGGCCGCCGAGTAGTACGTATCCAAACAGTGACGCCACTGCTTCCCCAGGTAACCCTAAGCCTGGCTGTGTTTACTCATGTGAATGCATTGTAAGTGGTGGCAGGTTACTGTCACATGCTCTAAATGCCACCATTATCGGAGGAAATATCTACATTTGCTGTTCTTAGAAAATTTCGTATGGTAAAGCCTAAACTCCCAGACAAGGAAGGTGCAGTGCGGGGCACCTTGAGGTCCTGCGGTGGCTGGGCTCCGTATAGCAGAGGCCCCCGGATGGCCTTGAGGTCGTGGGTGGCGATGGTTGCTGCTGTCCTCTTCTCACAAAGGTCCTCGTGGAGTTTCGTCTAGAACACAAAGCCAGAACATCAGCGAATCCCAGCATACCCAGAGGCAGAGAGGTGTCGCACAGCCTTGGGTCCAATCTGCATACTCAAGGGACCCTGCCTCCTCCTTGCCTGTCCCTCATTGCCCAGAGCCTCACCGCTCACCTCCACCAATGGCTCTTCCTGGGGCTCCCTCCTTTGCCTCACTAACCAAGTACTTATTCCGTGGACTTGTTTGGGAAAACTACTATATCTGTCCATCAGCACCATTTCTCATTTCTCTAATTCTAAAACACAATATTTGAAATTTCAACGAACGGATCATGAGCTAAGACTGGTAACTGAATTAACAAAAGAATGATTTAAAAATGAAAAACCATCCCAGCATGCTTTTCGTCCAAAGCACTGATCTTGAAGCTTTAAACGCCGGCCTGCCAAACCTGCCTGCTCATCCCTACCCTCATGGAGAAGGGCGTCCAGAGGGAATGAAGCACCCCTTTCACAGCTTCACTGGCCACCTGAGGGCCGCACCCAGGTTTTTCCCTCCTGTAACAAACGTTCCCACCTGAGGGCACGTTTTTAAAAGGCTAGTTGAAGGCAGACTTCACAGAGACCTAATCAGGAAATTTCTTAAGCCAGAACCCTTTAAACCAATCCATCCACGTCAGAACTATCAGGCAAGCAAACTGGTGATTTAGGGGGAAAAAACTGCTGTGAAACTGAACCCAATTCAGGGCCACCATGTGTGTGGTAGAATCCTGGTTTGGTGCCGTGGGTTACTGCGCTGGACTGCAAAGTCAGTGTGAATTGCAAGGTCGGTGGTTCAAGTTCACCAGCTGCTCCTAGGAAACCTTATACAGGGTCACTATGGGTCAGAACCGGCTCAACAGCACTTAAAAACATGTGTGTCAGAGTAGAACTGTGCTCCACAGGGTTTTCAATGGCTGGTTTTTGGGAAGTCGATCTCCCATGGCCTCTGTGTGGAGTCAAACCTCCCAGTCTCTGAGTCAGCAGCAGAGCACCCCTCCCATCCCGGTACTGATGGCTGCAATACTGTATGATGGGTCAAAAAATGTGCAACTTTTTACAGAAACCAGAAAGCTGCCCAAGTATCACGAAAGTCAGGCAGACCGACTTTCTCTTCAGTAATGCTGGGTCTCACATAAGAGGCTGCTCTCCAGACCCGGACAAGAGGCAACATGAACCACCGCAGGGCTCTGGAGGGCTCTCAGCAGCGGGACATTCCTTACTGGAGCCACGCAGGCTGAGGAAGCTCTGAAATTATGACCCTGGGCTCATCTTTAAACCTTAAACTAACAACGTGCCCTGAAGTCGTCTTAAAAGCAAGCGTAACTAGTGAAAAATGTCTGCCTTGAGCACTGTTTTTTAAAGAATTGTCTATGGGGGACCCTTAGGGGACAGTGAGTTCATGTGAACAGGAAGAACAGCTCAGAAAACAAGAGCAAGAATGGCTGCACAACTCAGAGAATGCCACCTGTCACTGAAGGTCACACGTACAAACTGTTAGGCTGGAGTATGCTTTGCTGTGTAGATTTGTTGTTGTTGTTAAACACTATGGAGTCGGTTCCGACTCATAGCGATCCTGCACAGAGTTTCTGAGGCTGTAAATCTTTACCGAAGCAGAAAGCCTCATCTTTCTCCCATGGAACAGCTGGTAGTTTCGAACTGCTGACCTTGAGGCTCGCAGCCCGATTCATAACCACTACACTACCAGAGCTCCTTGCTGTGTAGATACTCGGCAACAAATTAGTATTCTTGATTTCTGAAGCACACACCAATTCCGGCAGCTCCTCTCCCGGCCTGAGAGCTCACGCAGCATGGTGTGGGAACATCACCGCCGGGTTCCTGCTCTCATTGACACCTCCCCCACTTCATCCTCATCCACCGTGCCCCCAACCCAGTTGCAGACCCAAGTTTTGGGCCCTACCTGGGCAGTGAGGAAGCGCTTGAGCGAGTTCCCAGCATGCAGGTCCATGCCCCGCACGACGGCGCCCACGAGGAAGGGCCGCACGTCCCTGACCTCAGGGTGCACTCTCACCGTCAGGGGCGCTGGGTTCTCGGAGACGTGCAGGACCCTGAGCAGCAGCCTGTGCGTGGCCTCCAGTTCCCTCTCCTCCCCGTCACCACCCTCCCTCTTGTGCTTCTTCTCCCTCTTCTTCTTTCTGCTCTCCTCCTTGTCAGCACCCTCAGCCTTTGGCCGGCCCTTCCCGCAGCCCCGGCCGCCGACACGCAGGTACTCCAAGATGGACTTGGTCTGGCAGCCGTGTACCATCTTCTCCAGGCGCTTGTCCCTCAGCTTGTTCCCCTCAAAGTGGATCTCCTTGAGCTTCGGGCAGTCGGCCAGTGTTGCTGGGATCTCGCTCAGCTGGTTGTTGGAGAGGTCCAGCGTCTGGGAAGAGACAGTGGGGACCAATCAGACCCTGGGCTTTGGGAAGAGATGCCAAAGAACAGGGAACGCAGCGAGAGCTCCCAGACTTTCATCTGCTATACGATGCCCCCAGCTGCAGCAACAAGCTACCTGGCTTTCTACTTTGCGATGTGCTCCCCCACCCCCAGAGCCTCATCACCAGCCTTCTGCCCACTGATGACATGACTAGCCCTGAGATGCATGTGCTAATGGGAAGCGGTTAGCAGGTACGGCCAAGTCTGCTTCGGATTCACAGTGACCCCATGTGACAGAGTAGAATGGCCCCATGGGGATTTCTAGGTGGTCATCTTATGGGAAGGAGTTCTGGTGACTCAACGGCCAACATTCAGTTGCTCACTGACAGGTCAGCAATGCACACCAACCAGCCACACTTGGGCAGAAAGACCTGGCTGTCTGCTCTCAGAGAGATTACAGCGACGAAAGCCTGTGGGCCAGATGTATGCTGCTATGAATTGGAAAGGACTCGAGGGCACACAGTAACAACCATCTTTAGAGGAGCACATCTCCAGCCCCTTGCTCTGATGCTGTGTGAGTCCAACGTGCCAAGCCTTCACTTAGCAGCTGAGCGCTTCACTGCTGTGCCATCAGGGTTCTTTCAGCAATGATTTGTTATCAACAAGTGTCACTGAAATTTCTCCTGGTCAAACATTTTACTCTTCTTGCTTGCTCAATTACAAGCTTCCCAATGGCAAAAATTCCAACCGATCCTTAGGCTAGGGGGAAAGAGGCAATAAGGTCTGCTTAAGAGACGTGAATGCATTTCAGAACCAAGTGAATGGTTCTTTAAGTGGAGAAACAGGTTCCCCATAAAATGGTGCAATGTGACTTTAATTAAATGAGCTAAAATGAAGGCACACAGCAAAAATCTCATGATACTGAGATTCAAAGTCCCCCGCAATAAAATGGGACTCCTGGTGTGGCGCTGTAGGATTAGCACTGCACTGTGAACCACACACAAGATTGGCAGTTCAAAAACACCAGCTGCTCCTAGGAAACCCTACACAGGGCCACAGTCGGCACCGACTGGAGGGCACTTCCCAACAGTAGCAGCAAGAATACAGAAAGTGTTCTCACATATTGTGCCTGAAAAAGAGCAAACTTCCTTTAAAAACAGTCTCCCCGTGGCTCATGGGAACAGTGAACCAGCATCCTGGAAAACGGAGCTGCTTTACTGACTTTGGGGGCAGCTTCCCAGAGCCTGGGCAGGGGTAGGGGACGAATTTGATGGGTCAGACTCTGGGACACTGAGGCGGACTCCTTCCACAGTTATGGCACTGCTGGGTCCAACACTCCATGTTCTCCCCCTGGTTGGAAGATGGATGATTCCTTGCCAATAATCCCTAGGAACGTTCTTTTCTCGGGCCAACACCCTACTCTTCTTGGTGGTAACAAGTGCAGTGAAAGCACAGCTCAGTCCTGATGCAGGAGCTCAGTCCTGATGCAGGAGGGACAAGCCAAGGCATGAGAGCCATGTCTGGGGAGGACCAGCCTCTTCCAGTCACCTGCCCTCCGCTCTCCACCACGGGGCACCATAGGTGGGGCCCAGTCATCGGAAAGCCTCGGGCCTGCTGAGCTGGGTGGTGTGTGCCTGTGCTCAAAGAGTTGGCATCTGGAAGGAAAGGTCAGAGGGAGTGCTCCTGGGACAGCTTGACGCCAAGGACTCCAGTGTTAGGAGAGGTGATGACCTGGCCCAGCCTGCTAGTTAGAGGCCACCCACCCAAGGCAGGTGCTCCCAGGTGGCCTGCTTGGTCAACCAAGGCTCCCTAATCACAGATGGGCTGAGCCTCAGTGGTGGGCAAAGGGACAGGGGCTCTTATGACCCCAAATTAGGAATAAGACAAAAAAGGAAATGACGGGAATTCTCTGGATCCAACAGCAGTCAGCCCAGAGGCAGGGAGAGCCCCTGCATGAGAAATAGGGTGTCCCAGGCTTGAGAACGGACAGAGCATCCGTGAGCTCAGGGTCAGATGGAAGGGCACGCTTCAGAAGGGGCTCTGACTAAATAAAATGAGCAGGGGAGAAGTCCTCCTCTAGGACTCAGGCAGGGGCCAATCTAAGATACACACAGAGTTCACAGCTGAGCCGGACCTGCTGGAAATATGGGAGCACCAGAGGAAGTAGGAGTGAGAGCCTCCTCCAGGGGCTGGAGGGAGCCAAACACCAATGTGGACCTTAATCACAGCTGACCTTTTCCCCTCTGAATACAGGACTCAACGGCAGTGGGATAGACTGAGGACACTGGAGGTGCCAATGAATGCCCTCCCTGCATCCCTGCCAAGTCCGCTCAGTTGGGGGATCAGTTCCTTAAGCATGCAGTGGTCTCTTGGCACCTGGCCTGGCTCTAGCACAGCGCCATCTTCTAGCTTCAACGTTCCCATTGACTGTTACCGTTTTGTATCTAACTTGCTCAGGCATATGATACGCACACCGTGCACACGGAATTAGGAAGTCATGCCGTTTTGTATGTGAGACTAACACATTCTTTGCACAGGCAGCACACACACTTGTCTGTATTCTAAGTGCAAACACAAACTGTGTTCTGGAAAAGTCACTTTCGCTTGGGAAATACTGCTCTCTGCTACCCGGGAAGGAACTTGATTTTGTGGGGCTGACCAACCTGAGACACACCATTTCCTCTTGGGAGGAGCAATCTCAGCCCCAGAGAGAGATGGCCCAGGCACCTGAATGAACCCCGCAGTGTAGGGCAGCAATTGAGAAAAGGGGGAAACAAGACTTCCCAATCAAGGTGGACTCTTTTCATGGGCCTTGACTATCAAACCTGTAAGAACTCCACACCAGGGCTATGCTGACACTATAACCCCACTCTGGGGGCCACCAAGGACAACGCAAGTGGGCACACCTCTTGGCAGAAGAGGAGCAATCTTGGATGGGGTGGTTTTTCTGCGACCCTGTACTGTCTGGGCCCACTGCAGAAGTTATGGGGACAAATGTCCTGCCTACCTGTGGGACAAAGAGTTGTTTGGTTTGATTTTCATTTCTGAGAAACACCAAAGCAATCAAGATGCCTTGTTTCCCAAAACAGCCAGGCAAGCAGAGGCTACACAAGTTCTAGACCTGGGGGATTTCAGGGAGGAGGTCTGACACAATCAGGAATATTCACTGATGTCCCAAGTAACTAGGAGACCCTAAATCTTGGACAGCTTTCTTTGGGGCTCCTGGTTCAGTGAGAATATCCAAGCAGGGCAGATGAAGAAGTACATCCTTGGGGACAATGGCGTCCCCAGGGCAGAAACTCTCTCAGACCTTGACTGGTTATAAATAGGCAGCTGTAAGTATTGGTGGCGCTGTAGGGGAAGCACTCGACCACGAGATTGGCTTAAACCACACGGTTGGTGGTTCAAATGCACCAAGCCACTCCTCAGAAACCCTATGTTGCTGTTGTTAAGTGCCATTGAGTTGGTTCTGACAATAAATACTCTGTATAGGGTTTCCAAGGAGTAGCTGGTGAGCTTGAACCACCAACCTTGCAGTTCAAATGGCTTTGCAGTCTGACACATTAACCCACAGCACCACACCAGGACTCCAGAGGTGCTGAGTTGGAACTGACCCGACTGCACTTAACAACAAGAAAGAATTAGTAGGGTCCTAGTATGGCACTGTAACACTGGACTGCTCACCGTAAGATCGGTTGTTCAAACCCACCAGTTGCTCCTTGGAAACCCTATACAGGGTTGCTATGAGTCAGAACTGACTGTTTCTTGGTGACCTAGCTTTTGGTGGCCAGGGCGTTCTGACCCTGTCCAGGATACCCAGGGATGAAGATCTGCTCTAACTGTACTGAAGGTCAGGATCAGAGAGAGGAATTGCTATGTAATTCCTGATGATGAGGGGAAATGCCAGAAGATAAAGCCTGCATTCACGGCCAATTGGGAACTGGATTCATGCTGATCTTTGCTAGGAATTTAGTGATAAAGGTGGGGTTTGCCCACCTGGCCCCTCTTATAATATAGTTGGTAGTAACTGCATGCTTTATATTAACCCTTCCTCAGCTCCTGCAGGACAGGAGCATGGGTCTGAAAAACAGCAATATAAAAATGCAATTGGAAACGATGTGCCGGTACCACCTCAGTCTTGGCTTGCTAACACCCTGACAGTTCTGCCCAGAGAAAGAACACACGCAAATGACACGTGTTATCTGAGTTATTTCTCGATCAGAGAGATAAATGCTGCTGAGTAAGTCCCAGGCCAGAAAGTGAAGTCATGTTTACTGGTTGGGAGTTACCCTGGGAGTTAACAGGAGAGCAATGGGGCAGCTACCTCTTCAGCTTCCTGATCCAAGGGGCTGGGGTGGGAAAAACGGTCAGTCAGGGTTTTCACAGCAACAAGATCTTGGGAGTTAGCACTGGCTGTTGAGGACAAGAAGCTTCCCCAAGGCATTGATTTTGTTGCTGCTATGTGCTGCTGAATTGGTTCCGACTCATAGCAACCCTGTACAGCGTTTTCAAAGAGCAACAGGTGGGCATGAAATATCAATAGGCTAGTAGTCCAGGGCTTATCCTACAGCGCCACACCAGAGCTCACCACCCTGTACAAGTGTAAAGGGTTTCTAAAGAGTGGCCAGGTGACTTTGAACCACCAACCTTGCAGTTCAAACTGACTTTGCGGTCCAGTGCATTATCCTGCAGCGCCACACAGTGGCTCCCAAAGAAACATACTTTCTGAGATTCCGCTTCTTAAATCTGGACCTAGGGTCAGCTCCAGGTCTAAGCCTTAGGAAGGCAGTTCCTGGAGCTCTGAGTAGCCACGGAAAGACAGCGCCCCCTGCTGGAGAGACCCAGTGGAGACACGAAAAAGGAGCCTAGGGCCTCAGTTCTAGGCTGCTAACAATAACAGACCAGCAAGTGGATGTGCTCAAGTCCTGTTGTGAACACAGGTGGCGGGGGTTCAGTCGACACCCCGCGCATCTTGGTCTGGGGGGAGTGCGTGGGGAGGGGGCAGGCTTTCAGAGGTGATGACACAGAAGTTGGCTGTCCGGCCGGGCTGGAATTTCCTGGCCTTGTAGGGCGTCACCAAGGACGACTGAGCGCCCTGGGCTTCTCGCTCCGTGGTTACTCCAAGCCCCGATCCCGCCCGCCCGCGCAGCCCCGCTGACCTTGAGCGAGGCCAGGTGGGCGATGTCGGGGCTGAGCTCTCGGAGGCGGTTGTCAGCGGCAGTCAGTTCGCTGAGCAAGGGCAGCGCGCCGGGTTGGAAAAGCGCGTCGGGGAAGGCGTCCAGGCAGTTGCCGGTGAGGTTGAGGCTCTGCAGGCGCGGGGCGCACCGCGCCAGGTCGGCGGGCAGCTCGCGTAGCCGGTTGCCGCTGAGGTTGAGGCTCTGCAGCTGCGGGAGGCCCGGCGGCTCGGCGGGGCCCAGGCCCTGGCCCGGCGGCAGCGCCTCCAGCGCGTTACCCGACAGGTCCAGCACACGCAGGGTGGGCAGCGGCCCGAGCTCGGGGCTCAGGCCGGGACCCAGCGCGTTGCGCCTGAGCACGAGGCTGTGCAGCTGCGGGAGGCCCTGCGCCAGACCCGGCCCCGGCTCGCGCAGGCTCCCACAGCCGCTCACCTCCAGGTAGTGCAGCAGCGGCAGCGTGAAGAGCCGCGGGGGCAATCGCCCACCCGCCGCCCGCACCCGCTCCTCCAGTCCCGGCCCGGTCAGCAGCAGCTCCCGCCGCCGCTCCCGCTCGGCCAGCTCCAGCTCCGGCCAGGCCTCCGACACAGCAGCCGCCGCCATGGCGCTGCCGCTCTCCGCAGCCACTCCCAGGGGCTTCCGGGGCCGCCCGGTGTCACTTCCGGCCCGGGCCCTACGGAGTGGTAACGTGTGTCACGGAGCCAAGGACTCTCCCAGACGGAGGCTTGGTTGGAGGATACTCAGTTCTTCACCTCCACCTGGCTTCGTCAGTGCGGGGACGTTGCCGAAATTGCAAGCCCAAGGTCCCGAGACCCACGTCGGCCACTCGCACCCGGCGGCTCATTAGGCTGCCCTCTGGACCGAGTGTCACACCCTTAGAGCAGTGACTCATCTTTGGAATCACCTGTAAATGACCCGGGTCCACGTCTGAAGGTTCTGATTTCATTGGTCTGGGCTGTGGCATGGACCTCGAGATTTTAAAAAAATTTCCCTTAAGTCACTCTGGGGAGGCTTAGTTTTCCTGTCTTGTGATCCAGTAGCCAGGGGCGTTTGAAATAGCAGAAATGGTAAGTATAGGACTCACTGAGTTTTGCACAAACAACACATCCATGAAGCAGCATCCAGAATGAGATTTTACTACCAGCCCCACCCCCACCCCCACTAAATAAAAGAGACAAGACGGTATTGGCTATTGGCTCAGTCTTATACCCCTGGGATTCATCCATGTAGGGGGTGAGGTTGAACAGCTTTTGTGTTGCTGTTTCATTATTATAAGCCAGTTGTGAATATACATATTTGTCCCCAGCGGGGGTTTTCCGTAGCCCTGAATCATTTCCCTTCCACCGCACCCTGAAAAGAACAAGTTTTGTCTTGGTTGCTTGTTATGTCTGATTGCACTCATGAAGAACAAATGTTGAGTTTCAGGCCCAGAAGGGGAAGGCCTTCTGAATACATAGGTGTCAAGAGATGGATAAAATGACCAGAACTCACTCCAAGAGACACTACTTTATTACAGAAAGAGAATAAAGGAGATGGTTTATGGGCAAGGGAATTTACTTACAAACGGCGAAATAACAGCTGTGTCCAGTGTTGGCCAGCTGGATCAGGAAGTTTTACTAGGTGAAGGACGGGGTAGGGGTCCTTCAAGGGGTATTCATGGCATAAAGGCAGTTGAGGGTGGTATGCGGAACTAGGAGAAGGTAGGAAAATCCCAAGGTGCCAGCTGTCCTGGAGAACAAAGAATTTCAGAGAAGTTGTTGTTGTGTGCTGTGGAGTTGGTTCCGACTCATAGTGACCCTGCACAGGGTTTCCAAGGCTGTAAATCTTCACGGGAGCAGAAAGCCCCATCTTTCTCTTGCGGAACAGCTGGTAGTTTCGAACTGCTGACCCTGAGGTTAGCAGCCTGATTCATAACCACTATGCTACTTCCCAGCATAGGTATAACTAAAGCTGGAGAACAAGATAGCTGGAGGAGGGGCTTGTCTGCTTCCTAGATAGCAGGGGAAGAGATATGGCTTTGAGGTTACCTTGGCATGGTAGTTTTGGAATGTTAAGTTTGTGTCCCTACAGCAAGCAATGGCTTTGAACCTTCTTTTTCTAGTCTGACCTTTCAGGACCAACTTTAGCTGCCCATTGTGTCTGACTGAAGCCACACACAGCACCAATTCAAAAGAACCATCCATCCATCTTCCAGGGATTTCTTGGAAGAATACACACACAGCCAGGAATTCAGGTTTCTCTTGATCTCTGAGCTCCTAATTGTTGTTAAGTGTGGTGGAGTCAGTTCTGACTCATAGTAACCCTGTATAGCATTTTTGAGGAGTGGCTGATGAGCTTGAATTGCCACTTGAATTAGAACCTTGCAGTTCTAATTGACGATATAGTCCAGCACATTAACCCATAACGTCACACCAGGACTCAGGAATCCTCCTAATAAACCTGCAAAGTAGGTTTCATTATTCCTGTTGCAAAAAAGACAAGACTAAGTAAGGTCAGGGTGTTGAGACTGCTCCATCTATGCCCACCCTCTCCTTTCCAATGATAATCCATTTATAAGATTGGAAGACTGGTTCAAGATGGAAACATGACCCGCCCCTTGTTTCTGATGTAGGATTCCCAAGATGTTCTTTCTATTCCCACTCTCCAAAAATACAGCTTCCTGGGGTGGTGCTATAGAATAAGCCCTGGACTGATAACCACAAGGTCAGAGGTTCAATGCCACTGACTGCTCCTTGGAAACCCTCTACAGGGTTGCTGTGAAAAAGAGGAAAGAACACACACACACATAATTGGTGACTTCGGTTGTTGGGCCCTAGCATTCTTGCCTGCATAGTCTCTCCTGTGTGGAATTTTGTGTAAGGGCCTACCAGCTCATGCTGGGTCATCTGGACAGGCTATAAGAAGGTTAACAGAGTTACAGCAGTCAATACTGGAAATAGCTGAAATGCCCAGGGATGTGGAGAAATTGTGAAACTTTCCTGAAATGAATGAATGTACTGAAAACGCGTGCTATGCTACACCCAACAGCAGTCTGCATGATGATCCAAATTACAGTGTAGAGCGGGGAAAAGACTCCGGAAGAATGCACATACTTGACTACTCATATGATCCCATATATATAGCTTAAAAAGATGTAACATTCACAAATATATTATTTAGAGTACATCCATATGCCATAAATCTATGAAGAAAACCAAACATTGATATATTATTTCTGGAAAGTTAAGCTGAATTTACTATCCTGCCAAGTGAAACCTACAGTCTCCATATTTCATTGGGTTTATGAACTCCTTAAGGAAATCTGGTAATGTAGTGGTTACGAGTCGGGCTGCTAATCACACGGTCAGCAGTTTGAAACGTCCAGTGGTTCTGTGGGAGAAAGATGAGGCTTTCTAAAAGCACCCATAAAGATGTATAGCCTCAGGAACCCTATATAGGGTCACTATGCGTTAGAACTGACTCCATGGCACACCACCATACCACTACCATGGGCTCCTTGCTGTGGTGCTGTAGGGTGAGTACTGGACTGTGAACCACAAAGTTGATAGTTCAAACCCACCAGCTCCTTGGAAATCCTATATAGGGTCTCTATGAGTTGGAACTGACTTGACAGCATTTAACAGCATAGAAACTAAGGAGCACTGGTAGCATAGTTGGTTATGTGTTGGGCTGCTAACTACAAGGTCAATAGTTTAAATCCACCAGTTGCTCCATAGCAGACAGGTGAGACTTTCTTTTCCCGTAATGATTTACAGGCTGGGAAACCCTAGGATTGCTATGAGTTGAAACTACCTCAACGGTGCAGAACCACCACCCTAGACATTAGGGGTCCCAGTGTGGCACTGTAGGACAAGCACTAAATTGTTAACCACAAGGTCGGCAGTTCAAATCCACCAGTCACTCCTTGGAAACCCTGTATGCTATGAGTCAGAACTGACTTGATGGCACTTAACAACAACATAGACAGTAAGTGATTAATAGAAGCAGCTTCTACTCATCAGAAAGGAAAATGCTGGTCACTTTCTAGCTGGAGACATATTTTAACATGAGTCCAGCTTAAAGCTGGCTTATTTTGGTTTGGTAGTCTCTGATATAAGAGGAGCCATGCTTAACCACTCCACTGCTAACAAAAATGTCAGTAGTTTGAACTTACCAGTCACTCCATAGAAGAAAGATGAAGTCGTCTGCTAGAGATTTTACACCCTTGGAAGCTCTATGGAGTAGTTCGACTCTGTTTCATAAGGTCACTAGGAGTCAGAATTGGGTTTTTGTTTGAGTGGGTGGATAATCTCTGGTATGATTTATAGTTTCAAAGAACAAAGTTTCTCAATACTATGTCCTTGATGGACCAGCAGAACTTTAAATTCTATGAAAAGGAAGTATACAGAATAATTATTCTCTATACTGTATGACTACATCTGCGGAAAGAGACAATGGAAGGCTAGGGGCAGACTGTGGAACAGACCACCAATCACTCATATGCAAATTCAAACTGAAGCTGAAGAAAATGAAAACAAGTCCATGAGAGTCAAAATAGGACCTTGACTATATCCCACCTGAATTTAGAGATCATCTGAAGAACAGATTTGATACATTAAACACTAAAGACCGAAGACCAGAAGAGTTGTGGGATGACACCAGGAACATCATACATGAAGAAAGCAAAAAATCATTGAAGGAAAAGGTAAAAATCGATGTCAGAAGAGACACTGAAACTTGCTCTCCAGCACAGAGATGCTAAAGCAAATGGAAGAAATGAGAAGGTCCAAGAGCTGATCAAAAAATTTCAGAGATCAGCTTGAAAAGATAAAGCCAAATATTGCAACAAAATGTGCAAAGATCTGGAATCAGAAAACCAAAAAGGAAGAACACGCTCAGCATTTCTCAAGCTGGGAACTGAAGAAAAAATTCAAGCCTTGACTTTTGTTATTGAAAGATTCTCTTGGCAAATTATTGAATGATGCAGAAAGCATCAAGAGAAGATGCAAGGAATACACAGAGTCATTGTACCAAAAGGAAATGGTTAATGTTCTACCGTTTCAAGAGGTAGCATATAGTCAAGAGCCAATGATACTGAAGGAGGAAGTCCAAGGTGCATTGAAGGAATTGGCAAAGAACAAAGCACCAGGAATTGATGGAATAAAAACTGAAATCTTTCAAGAAAGTGAGGCAGCACAGGAGGCACTCACTCAGCTATGCCAAGAAATCTGGAAGACCACTATCTGGCCAACTGATTGGAAAAGATCCATATTTGTGCCCATTCCAAAGAGAGGTGACCCAATGGAATGCAGAAATCATCGGGCAATCTCTTTGATATCCCATACGAGTAAAGTTTTGCTAAAGGTAATACAGAAATGGCTACAATCATACATTGAGAAAAAACTTCCAGAGATTCAAGCCGGATTCAGAAGAGGCCATGGAATGAGGGATATCATTCTGATGTCTGATAAACCTTGGCTGAAAGCAGAGAATATCAGATGTTTACCTGTGCTTTATTGACTATGCAAAAGTTTTCGATTGTGTGGATCATGACAAGCTATGGACAATATTGCGAAGTATGAGTATTTCAGAACACTTAATTGTGCTCATGAGGAATCTGTACC